GTAGTTGTGCGACCGCCTACACCACCTGAGCACCATATTACCTTGGTCTCAGGACAGCTGTCAACCGTGAGCCTTGGCGGCTCAGCGTTTCGTAGTGATGTCTGATAGCTCTCACAAGTGCACACTATCACAGCATCTCCTCTTTCTTTATCTTCTTCAAAAGGCTTAGTCCCACTAAGACACAAAGTGTGTGCTTTTCCAGCTACGCTCTCACCCTTTGGTTGACAGAACCTTGTAACCCATTACCTTGATCCAGCTTCCTTGCATACTTACCCTAGCTTTCCATGTCAAACTTATAATGTGAAAACTGTCAATACCAATTCTCGCATCACCATACACTTCATATCTCAAAATCTGATTGGGCGTGTCACCGGAAATGACGTAGCGGCCATCGCATTGACAGATTTTATGTGGATAAAATACTTTGCCAGATCAGCAAAGCGTGTTGGAAGCAGCTTATCCGCGCAACTTCTGTCAAGTGCGGTGGCTGCCACGTCATTTCCGGTGACACGCCCAATCAGACTTTGAGATGGGGACTGTAGTAGCAGGTAGCAGTCCCCGCTCACACGGTCTACGGACAGCTTGAACTCGGTCCTTTAAACCGCGTCGACTCGATGCTCTCGCCTCCATTCTCTCGCTTGAACAGTGCTTTATGATTTTTGTGATCACACACATCCAAACTTCGCCACAGTCGAATTGGCTCACCCACCTTCTCCCTTTCTTCAGTGCTATTTAGCGATCCTCTTCTGGTGGCCATTTCCTCGTCCACTATCAAGTTCCTGGTTAGTAAGCTTCGAATTCCTTGTCGCAACTTAGCACCAGAGCAAATAACGCGCTCCATTCACGCGCCCCTCGTACCGTAGCTGTTTTCGCTGTGGGAGCGCTGGCCTACCGCGCGATGTCGCGTTACGAAGCGCGAAAATGTCGCTTTCTGTCCTGAGTACCCACACCCACTCGAACCCAGCCCTTTATACCGCCTCTGTGCTCTCTCGCGGGTCCCTCTCCTCTCCAAGGCTTAGTCTCAGGTCATTCACCCGTTATCGTCTGTGCTCTAGCCATCGCGGCAGGACCATTGATTAAAATCAAGTAGTCCGTAAACCATCGTAATCGCTTCCTTTAAGCTTGGCCAAGATTAATCCAGAATTTTGATAGTCCGACCCTAGCCGCACAGTAATGTAGGCGTAAGGGCACGGTAGCCGTCAGGAATACGTAATCATACGGGCGCGGGGCGGTGATTAAATGTACGTAACATCCAATGGAGCCGGTGTTGGGTGATACTTGATTGACGATTTGTCCTGACATGGTACAATCTTAGCGCAACACGGTAGATAATATGATAGTGTTCCGTGTTTTTGAATAAACTGAATAAAGCGTCCACAACAAATGTTATAAGACTAGAGAGCTTAAGCAAAAAACCTCATCGGATCTCACTGCAAGTCAAGTGTATGTGAAGATGAAGGAAACGCTGTAGGTTACTACTGAGTGGTTAATGAAGGCTATTACTTTGCTAACTGGAACCAACATCTTACAATGACGTTTCAACACAACACCATTCCAAAGGCGAGATGAAAAGAAGAAAACTCGTCCGAACATGCAGCGTGGTCAGCAGTGTTTACAGGGGTGCAGCAATTTGCCAGCGATCAATGCTATTCGCTAGCCCCCTCTCCTCTCCGCCGCACATGCGGCGAAACGATGTCTTGCTTTGGTTTGAACGAATCTTTAAATCTCCAATACACATACCGCTCAAACGCACGATATACTTTCATATTCATTTCTACACCATTCTTTCAGCCCTATGCGAGGAGGCTTGTCTCTACATTCATATACACACATACATTCATTACACTTCATTGATTCCTACCCAATTTTGGCTCTCATGTCCTTGGGGAGCAGGGTGAATAACGGTTGAGAATCCTCGACCATGGCTCTGTACCGTGCAAGAGTGGTGCCGAGCGTGAATGTACGCGCGGAGAGCACAGACGGCCTCCGCGGGATAATGTAAGCAATCAGGCAGAAATCCTCGACGTGCCGTTGAGGAATCCTCGACCGATATTCGCCTTGTTGAGGAGGGGAGGGAGCATTCAAGTGAGTGAGTCACACACACCATTTCTGTGGTTAAACTTTAGAGAATGGGATTCTTTGAGAGCATATCACCAATTTTGTCTCATTTTTGCCTCCCTGCTGTGGAGGACTAAGCCTTGAGGAGGACGAGGGGGAGGTACATTGGGTGAATGAGCCATTATCTTCCATGAAGTTTTTCCCCTCCTATTAAATAGCGTCAAAACCAAGCGCAAAACATGAAAAATGGTGTTTCATGGTTCTAATAGCGTTTAGAGGCCTCAAATTCCTTTAATGGTGCTATCTTTGGGAGTTTGAACTACTAATACGCAGGGAAAATGAAAATTTCAACTGTAAACCGTCTACAACACAACGGGTGTGATCATTGGGAAAGAAACCGGTTTTTCGCATTTCACAGCGGGAACATTTTCAGCTGCGTGAACCTCAGGTCCACCGCTGATCATCAGTGGAGCCGAGATTCCCGCAACGAACAATGTTTCGCGCTGCGAGATGCGAAAAAGTCGCTTTCTGTCCTAGTGCACCACACCCTACCTCACAACTACCCACTTCGAATTTCCAAACGTCCACAGAATCACAGTAAAACTTAAACATGATTCTTTAACGGGACTGTTCCGATTATACTTTTTCACCCATACGCAGGTGAAGTTCAACTGCACAAATCGACGTGGCATAAAATCAGGAGCATTTGAAAACACATGTATTACGTTTTCATGGAGAATTTCATCATGTGCGCCACGCCGTGCACTCGTTGCGAGAAATAGTAGGAGGCATTTTTGTGCAACAGTTCGTGCTCATAAACCATATTCCCAACTTTTGCAGAAGATCAAACAGATCACTTGTGCAAAAAAGACAAAAGCGTATCACTTCTGACCCTCCCCCTCACCAGCCCCCTACTGGAACAGGCCGGTAATTTTTAGAAGAGTTAGTAGAGATGATCGGAAAAGTCATAATTGTAATGTATGTAACAGCTTTCATAAGCGGAGCGATACGAGTATTGATATAAGGAAAATTAGTACAAATAGAAAATCGATGTAGATCGAGGAAGGATCTGCTGTCAAAAAGCACTAAATAATGAACAACAAACCATAACATCGAACATCATGTAGTGTGAAAAAATTTATTAAATCTTCATCATATAAACCGCTTTGTAATTATTCGCTTCAAATCATGTCTCAATGAAAGTGGTAAACCGTTCCGCATCTAACAATCACATACACAAAGAAATTGACGCATAACAACGGTAAAAGAATAAAAATGGTATAGCTTAGCTACGAAGTGAATTCAAAGGTCAAGCATGCAACTTACAGACCATAAAGCGATGGGCGATACAGCAGTATTAGATGAGCAAAAGTGATCTATATACACAAGTAGTAACGGGGCATTCAGGAGAAAGAAATAGAAAGCAAAAGCAGCTACCAGTTCGAAAGACCCGGCTTATTCAGGGTCATAAAGTAAATCTGGCAAGATCCGCCACCTTTTGCCGACGAGAAAAATACCTGAACAAAGAATAATTGAATAGTTGAATCATCATACTGAAGATACCGTTTGTTTTTATCTTAACACATTAACAACTATGAGGCCCTTCGAGGCAGTTCAACCGTTCGTTCGCATTGTTCGAACGAGGGGGTCGCATTTGGGGTTGGGCATGGTCAACCATATTTGGAAAACTGCATGAGGGTCATACTAGTGTAAATTTGAAGGGGTCGGCGGTTGTCGAAAGGGGGTCCTTCGGATATTTTAATGGTTTTAGAGAAAGTTCAGCGAAGTGGCGCGAAATAGAGAAATTCGAAAGATGCAGCCCTATTAGGAAATATTTATGCTGAGGCAGCCTCCTGACTGTGAGACTGATGGCAGTAGTGGTAGTGGGTCGCATCAAGACCCTCTTAAGGGGGGGGGAGGGGAGGGAGGGGAGTCGAGAGAATTTTGAAAAGTGCGAACGCCACGCTTGACCCGCTTCGAAGTCGTCGAATGAAACAGCGCTCCGCCGATAACAGGTAAGAACGAACCTATCTCAGCGGGCGGATTTGATCCAAAAAACGTGATAGAATATAACAGATCCAACTTGCTTCTGGTCTTCGAAAATGACGAATTTTCAAATTTGGTGTGTTTCTAATCAGTGTGTCTGCCACTACACCAAATGGGCCATGTCAAAGCAAAACTAAATCATCAGAAAACGCCTGCTATGATGAAAATAAATCCCAAAACTTGTAATCCGATTAATGATACGGACAGAGAAAGTATGCATCCTTCGTGCCCTCTACTTAAAGGACGAATTCACGACCAGAGGGAAAATCGAATTAGGAAGAATTCACCTGGTTGAGGGACCCGCGGAGCTCCTAAGTGTGCGAACTGAAGCACAATTTGCACAGAGCGGTTGACCTCGTTGACCTATCAAGGTTTAATCCCGCCGCGGCTGGTCAGTGCACCGATCATCTGACCACTCGCCGCAGGTCTATACGTGGTGAGTGATTAGATAGGTGAGAGAGCATAGCGTTGAAGAGGACACAGTGATGACATGACCATGATGACGTCACATCAATGCTCAAATCAACGGGCAAGGAAGTGGTCCCATTTCTCAGGTTCTGAGCCGTTTCGCACAGAAAGAGGACGTTTTGCGTTGCTCTGAATGCGCTGTCACAACAAATGCGATAGCGACAAAACGTAAAGTTTTGAATGACAGAAAGAATCAATTGTAGCAACTTAATCGTACAATTTGGTGTAAAAAGTGTGAATGGTGGTTAAAGGTGTGAAAACTTGAGTTAAAATCACTCTATCACATTTTAAGGTATCCAAATTGGTTTAAATAGAGCTCATATAAAAATATTTTATTTCATAAACAAGAGCGCGCTGTCGTACGTAGTGTACTGGAAAATTTTCAAAAAGATGTGGCCAACAAATCACGTAGCTAGGAGGTATGGATAGCTTACCTTATCATTGCGCTCACAAAGGAACTTCAGTTTCTGAGCTTTCTTATGCATGAAAACACCGTCCAGGTGGCCAGTGTCAACGGAACGAATTTCGATAGCCTTATTTCCCCAACCCATAATTTGTCCAGTTGAGATATAAGCTGGAACGAAATCATGAAATACAAAAAACTGTATCAACAAAAGCAGCAGCATCATCCGAATAACATACTTACCGACACTACTGGGCATCTCGCCCCACTGTAGCACCACATTCTTTGACATTTTTCCATACGTATTTACATACACACCTTCATCTGCAAAGATAAACTTATTATTACTATGAAACACATTATCTTGGGTCTTGCAGCCTGACTACATGCTTACTGAACAGCATACAGTTTTGTCCCTAACAGCATTCATCCCTAAAGCCAGTGCTCGTGAATGAAAGGCGGAGAGCCACCAGTGAAAGGGCATCGAGAGTCGGTCTAACCACTCCGCCTAACGCGCTCCGATCAAGTCACTTAACTGATGAACTCTGCATAATTTTGCCATCGTGAATTTCAGGAAACGCGAAAGACCGTACAACCTAATGCACGTTCTATTGTCGAGTGTGCAATGAAATTGGATAGACTTTTCTCCTATATTTCAATTTTCTCTCTTTTAACGAAGGTCATTCAGAAAAGGATATAAAACGGTCAGCACCGTTTACAAAGCCTTATCGTAGGCAACTCATCTGCATCTCAGCTCAGAAAAGTAGCGACTTCGAGGCTCAACGATAAGCCAGTTCATAGAACAATGAAAGCAAATTCAGAAAAAGCGATGTTGGCAGAACATCGCTGAAACCGTACGCTCGAAACGGTGATCTCTGATTTGCTCAGCGAATTCGAGAATGGTGTTGCGCAGCTGAAGAACGCAGTGGTAGTGGTTCTCTCTGTTAAGCACAGTAAGTTGGATAGTTTAATTCACGAGGTTCTCCATTTACTTCTGTCACCAAATTTATAAAAGGCATTTGTACATGCTGGTTTGTCAAAGCTTGCTTACAGTTACCCGTTTAATGCACTGGACTTCGTTTGTCCACGACACACATATTGGGCCCCTACGCACATACCAGGCTTTTCCGGAATAAAAAACAAGATATTCGTGTTACGGAGGCCGAATTAGCTCAAAAGCCAGTATACTAGTGAAGGCTGAAATTCTGAACCAGCTCGAAAAAGCGGAAAGTCTAGTGATCTAATCTGCGTTTAGCCTATTTACTGTCATCATTGAAAAAATTATATGGCACTATTTTCGAATACAAACACTGGTTGTCGTCCATGAAAGATCAGATCCACTATTATGGGCTGGAACAGAATCCGAACTGCCCCACTTTCTCAAACATAGATGAAAATCTCAGCTTGTCTCGAAGATTGCTCACAGAGGGAGATTGACTCACTCTCCCATTCCCAGTATGGGATCCTCCTCAATATGGTGGAACCTCGGCTAATAGCTTTATATATACTCCCTCTGTTTCGCTCTTGCCCAAGACGATATCAGTACATCAAGCACTGTCGAACAAGAAGTTAATCATTGGACTTTCTCAGAAATCAAAAGACGGCATAAGGACTGATAAAAAAAACTGTATGAAGGTCCCCCGAAGCCAGAACAAAAGCTTCCCACAGCATACCTAACGGAGATACTACCTCTTGAAAAAATGTATAAAACTTATTGCACACCGGACAAAATCAAAAAAAAAATCAATTGAGCTCTCTCCAAAAATTCAACAGCCCACACAGACAGCTGATCGAAACATAAATGAATCCCCACTATGCTCTTGATATTTCAAGTCGAAAACATTTTAACAGATTCGTGACCGCAGGAAGGAGGTAGAATTTTTAAAGAAATATGTTTGTGAAAAAATTGGCCTGGTTTAGCCCATGCCTCGATAGAGTAAAACAAACAATGCACACTACTCACTGTCATAGCAGAGCAGCAACTGCATTCCATTGCTATTTGGCAGAACTACGATGCAATGAGGAATCATATTCTGCTGTGGCTGAAAAAAAAGCTGTGGTAAAAAAAAACATACAATATGCACAAACTTTCTTCACGCCGCAATCACAAGGAAACCAAATAAAAATATCTACGACGGCCATAAAGCCAGAAACACACGTTATGTTCCTTGTCCGCACTAATCTTATAAAAAGCTGTGCAACAACCATTCAAATATTCATTATGGCCCCAAGAGTTTAACAAGAACATTAATTTCTCTTTCAAGCAAATGTACAGTTTTGGAAGACAAAGCCTCACAGTACAAAGGTCGTACCATTTAAAGGTTATCTTTTTGAATTTAATTCGACATCTTCATCAATCAGCTGCCCGAATTTCTATCAGGGAGTGATAATCTGGAACCAGAAAGAACATCACGTTCCAAGACACAGAGGGACGGTGAGGAAGGCGCTGACATAAGCATTATAGGATAAAATTGTAATAATAGCAAGGCGCGAAGAAACTGCATTTCAAGGGGTCAGGTGATTCCTATTCCATGTTTTATGACTGAAAACTTCATCTGATCTTACATTCCCAAATGTTTGGATACTGAGTTATTTGCGAATTCGTCGCGTCATCGCGGGCTGCGGCGGCTAGCGCGGCGACCTGGTCACTGCCACGATTGAATAGTCACGCACCCGTAGTTCAGAAAGGAACCTTGCGAAAATTGAGATGTTCTCGTGATAGAAAACGTAGTCCCTCTATAGCATTGGACTCTCTTTTCAAATGATTGCGCCAGTACCGCTAATTAAACTGAGCCGAGTTGACACCGCAGTTACAATGATTCACCTACTGCAAGTGTGATAGCTCTTTTCATTACATCATAATGCCTTCAGATAAATAACTGAATTAAAACGATTATGACACGTTAATACTGAAAAATGGTAAGTAAACATACATTGGGAGGAGTATAAATATCGTATATGGCAGCAGAGTCGAGGTCAATGGCATGGAACCCTTCGTGAGATCCGTAAAGAACTTTGAGACGAGCATTCTCCTCTACCGTCAAATCGACAATGAGTGGTAAGTGAGATAATGATCCGAAAGACTGCAAACAATAGAATAAGCACAGAGGTGGCCACCAATGTAAAAATACCCCACAGCGACTGTTACCCTCAAAAATAAAAAAAAACTTAGCAGCACCCAGTAACTTGGCTTGGTTCATCAGTTCACCCTTCCTTCAAAACTTGGGAGAATTTTTTACGGATGGCTTTGCCTTTTAGTGTTGCAATTTGCGAGGACAAAACATTTTCAGATGATCCGCAAAATAAGTATGTCACCAAGTATCATAATAAACTAACAAAATAACTGAAAAAGATCGCAAACCTTGAAACTCATAAACTTATGGTAGGGTTTCGGAGCCCATGCGTATATTTCAATGCTATTCTCCAAGCCTACCACAAGGAACTTTATTCGCTCATAGCGAACGATTTTGAAATGAATAGCTCCCCTGACAGATCGCCGACGTTCACCCAACCATTTCGTTTTTCTGCTGGCGCACCAGAAGCGGATCCCTGAACCTTTAAGTAAGCACAGTGAACAGAACCACAGATGCTCTGAGATGCAATTCTTGCATCCCCCTCTGAGCGATTTAAAAGACTTAACGGCGAAACATATAGTGCTGCACCAGCACAGTCGAACACTACTCATAATAGCGTATAGCGGTGCCGAAAGAAGATCTACGAATTGCACCCTCAAAGAAAAACGAATAAAAAAAGGGCAGCTAACCTCCGTCCTCAGGATTTTTTGTTTGAGCCAGCTCAAATAATAAACTCTGATTCTTCGTTTTCGTCCGGAAATCGTGATAAGTATATTCTGCCCTTCAAGCACAGTCATTTGTTCGAACCGTCTTCGGCTTATCAGTTGGTAAACTAAACGAGGTTTATTTCATTGTTAAAAAAAAGAGATGATAAAGAAGGATGAGGAAGATACATATGTAAATGTAGACATAATTTTTCGGCAAAGCATGGAAATATAGAGTATAATATGAACGTAAGTGTTGAAGGACAGCTGCAAATATTACCAAGGAAACGGAAATGAAGAAACAGGAAAACGAGCAGGACATCAGAAAGATTGCAAAGCTCCCAGAGAAGCAGCTAGAACAACGATCAATTCCCCGGATGAAATGAGGAAGGGAGGATGTGAGCAGAGCAACAAAAATAGCGTGGACTGCCAGTAGAATATGCGGGAGAAGCCGCGTGGTTTCCTTACCAACAACCCCCATTGTGGGCAAACAAAAGTAAAGGCCACTGTGATTTCTGGACCTAATAGATCTACTCCCTCCCACTGCGTGCACACCCTGGAGAATTCCCACCCCTTCGAGCTTGCACAGTTTCACAAGCTCTCCTCGTTTCCTTTTGAGACTTCGGGAAGTATTTGAGACCAGCAATAACTACCCGTTGGGAGAGCACCATATATGGGGAAAAGTTAGCACAGAAAAGCTGCTTTGAGCGTTAGTGATCGTGGGATGTTTTTCGCTAGGAATCACCCGAAGTTGTCAGAAGTCAAACTCCGAATTCGTAAAACTCTTGCTTTGAAGCTTGTCTACTTTGTTCTGGTTCATCATTGTTTTTTATACAAATTTGTATCCAAAAGAAAAAGAACAGCCAATGGCTTTGGACTGAGAAGTTTAGTTGCCATTTTAGGCTGCTAAGAATTGAGGCATACCACCGACAGCGAGCATATCCCCGTGTGCCATTCTTTCTGTTTGAAGGACGCCCGACTGACCTACTATAAGGATAGCGAATTCGGAGACGCGTTCCCAAGCCAGCGACTTCGAGAACACGTCCCGAAGCGCGTAGGCACGCTGGGTCGACCTAGCACTCATTCTCTTACTGTTCTTCTTGTCAAAAAGTAAGCCAGTGATTGGCGAACACTGCTCGGTGTCCCAAAGAAGTGTTACTTCTTTATCGTGACGGATTTCAGTGACAACTCAACATGGCCTTCTTTTTTTGAAAAAGAATCTCACTCAAGAAACGCTTTCAAATTTTCAAATGCAGAACAAAGCACAGCATTCTATGAAATGACAGAACATGCTTTTCTGTCCGTTTCAATGGGGCCGATTTTATTGACGGTGAAAATGTTGCAAAGAAAGCATACCTTTTCCTTGACCACTTCGATCCAGGAGCATGAGTCCTCCATCAGTACCTATTAGCAGATTCACACCCCACAGTGCTGCACACAAAATTTCACCGCTAAACTTCTTCTTGTACTTCCTGATCTCAGGTGCGTCCGATTCAAGATGTGCTCCATTTTGCGAGCTCGGATTGACGTTAACCTGAAACATTGCTTACAGAACGAGCAGTAAAGTCATGGAAGCTATCTAAGTTGGCCCCTTGACACAAACAAATTTGCGGAGTCTTATTAACAGTATTCGAGCCACAGATAGGGAAAGGACGTGCTCGGACGAGTTCTCCGAACTGCTATCTCAATACCATTAGTCATGCTCCGATCAATAGATATTTGCTACTCCTCTCACTTCCAATCAGCTGTTAACCATTAGGCTCAATGACCCTTGAAATATTGAAAGAAGCTCCGGTTAGTGAACCTGGTTTTTTGTGGCCAGCTGCACGAAGTGGGGCCAAAGCGAGGTGTACTCTGTGGGAAGGAACATCTACTACCCTCACCGTGCACGTTCAGGCCACTACAGCGACAAATACTCCAACTAACTTAACAGTGTTATCCAATTTATGAAAGAATCGATCACACCTGAACTATGGTGGAATGTGTTCCATATGAAAAATAATGTTACCTGAACCTGGCTGGCATCTTGTGTTCTACCAGGGCGATTCACAGTTCCTGTTCCTAGAGTTCCAGTTCCAAAGAAACCAACGAACGATTTTTCTCGATCTCTAGAGGAAAGCGGCTGTTGATGAAGAGAGATCTTCGAACCATTTGCGCAGGCACTTGCATTTCCGGGCAACTATAAAACGACTAATCACTGTAATGTACTCAAACATTTACGAAGACAGGATAACTTGTGGCACACAGCTTCTGTCGCCGAAGACCGCGGATCCTCTAGGCTCCGCCGGTCCAAAGCAATAGGACAGGGACTCAGTAATTTCTATATCGCGTCCGTGCAATCCAATACATCTTCCTACCTTCCTCGCACCTTACCGTGAGCCAGAGTATTGAACTCATGTTTATCCGCTCTCACGCAGACAACGAGAAAGATTAGGAATATAGTGCGAGTTGTAACACAATATTGCGCCATGCCTATGATAAACGTCGTGGGAACGCTTAGCAATTGAAGCTACAGTCAAGTAACCTGGCGCGGCTGAGGCCTCTTCTCTGCGTCGGTGAGAGGCTGGACGCCTAGGGTCCATATCGAAGAGTCGACGGGGAACATGGAACATCAGGAAGAAAGAGTTCTAGATAATATATTTTAAGCAGTAGAAATTCCCCAATGACCCACTGAGGGTGAACACTCCCCACTTCTGTGCACGTCATGGAAAGTATACATTCCACACACGCGTCATGAGCTGTAGCAATTCTTCACTACTAGTTGATGGTTAGTATACGTCACCGCAGTGTTCATATCTTTGGCTACTGCGTGCATGGGGTTAACTAACAAGTAAGTGTGGATCAGGCTAATACATATAAATACTATAAGTAAGTTTAGAAAGGGGAAGGTTCGCGACTCTTAAAGCGCTCATGTGCATTTGTATCTCGCTATGAGGGTTGTACTTGGTTGTGGCTTTCTAATCGTTGTTTCTACATGTTTCTCTGGACACCCTCAAAGTTTCCTACCCGCCGTAGAGCCGGTCCTGGTCACACCTTTGCTCCCCGTCTAGAAGCAGCCGGTCATCTTGCCCCAGCGAGAACACGCCGACCGTCATGAGCCCAGATGGATGGTTCCGAGTGAGGATGGGGTCTAATACGTATAGTCAGCTGGCCTGGCCTATCATTGAGTGAAGTGGCCGAGGATACAGGATGTTATGGTGTTATTGCGTACAATAAACATACATATTTTTGACTTGTATGTTTGTTAACTGCTGTTTATGGCCGCAGTTCCCCTTGCGAATGTTTCACAAAAATGCTGGGTTATGAAGAAAACTTTCGCCCCAGGTGGGACTGAAACCCGCAAAGTGAGAGGTGCGGGTTCTAGTCCCACCTGGGGCGAAAGTTTTCTTCACAACCCAGCATTCTTGTAAACCATACATATTCTTCAATACGTTGCATTCATGCTTATGTGGCTTATTTTATATTTCTGTACTGTGGGCATTGCTGCATCATTGTTGGAAAGGGTTTGACCCATTGGGTTATGACCCGGTAGCTGCGGGTGGCAGTAAGGACGACTTAGGAGCCTCTTCGCAGGGTGCGTAGGTGTGTTGTGGGTCCGATAGAGAGCCCAGAGCTCACTGATCCGAATCGCATCAGATCCAGAGAAACAAAACTTTGACGCGAATAAATGCTTTTTTTCAGTGTGAAGGAAAAAAAACCAAATTCTAGTTCACTATCTAGTATTATGGGCATCATTTTTCACAAAATTTCATGCTGCTCTCAACGTAGAAAATACGAGAACTTTTCAATGCGGAAGCACATAATGTTGGTGATCCTAAAGATATACCAAGAATGGAACTTGGCTTCTGAAAGGATCATATTCACTCCTTTTTCGGCATTCACAATTATGCTCTACGAAAGTGAACCTCGTTTTGCTGCTAGCATATGCCGCAACCGTTCTGAAAAGCCCTGCTTTTCTTATCTCTGTAAAACCAGCCGTCAAAAGTTGACTAATATACACCGCAGACGGCTGCTCACCTATCTTAATTGCTTCATTTTTCGTTGCTTTTAAGGCCGAGGAAGTGTGAATGGTAAATGCCGGCCCAAGAAAGCATGGGTGCAAAATTGAATCCACTCAACAATGAGGGGCTCATATCTGCAGATCTGATGCGAGAATGCACAATTTTTGAATTCACAGAAAAGAGTGGTTCAGCAGCTTCACATTTACAAACTTACTTCTTCAACTGAATCGTCGCCTATTCTTTGGTTATCCATTTTGTTCAGTTCACGCGGTTTTGGCAACAAATCCGGTAACGCCAGTGGACCTCCGCCACGTAATGATGAATTCACCTTAACAACAGCAATTTAAGCTAATCAGAACCGAAGTCACGAAAAAACGACAAAATGGCTGACATGCCCAAAAGTTAACTTGCACGCATATGAACCTTATTTACTCAACAATTTTTTTCCGACTTCAGGATCCCTCCAGTTTCTAATCTGGCCTTCTTCCGAAGAGCTCAAAGGTTCACGTGAACGGTCAAATTATCCGCGGTTGTATCGCGGCTTTTAAGTGAGAGCGCGTCACCGTGTAACAGGCCGGCTAGAGCCGGCTTGTTAAAAGGCTTTAGCTAGGAAGAAGTTCCTAGCGATCGACCTGCCGAAGACAGATTTTTTAGCCCCTTTTATTGGCCAACGATCGAAGATCAGGGACGCTGCCGTGTTCGCCAAGGAATCGAAGGTAAGGTAGGCCGGACAGGTCATGCGAATTTGCGATGATCGTTGGACCAGAGCGGTTACCGCCTGGATCCCTTGGGACGTCAAACGAATACCTGGACGACCGCCGGACCAATGATCAGACTTCTCCATGAACCCTCTGAACGAAAGGAATGAACGGCTTCGTGTCCCTCAAGCGAGGGAGATTCACTGGACCACTCTAGCACGCGACAGGGACGAATGGAGACGTTGCTGGTGCCTCGTGCAAATCGACGATCAAGGGGACGACAGGTGATACAAGTGATTGGCCCAACCACTGCTACTTCTGCACTTTGTTAGCAAGAATCACTACTTCTTATAGACAGTAGCTCGTTGTTCAGACACCATGCACGGGTGGAGCAGGATAGAAGATGGAGACCGAACTCGTACATACTCTAACTCAGACAACGATTGCTATCCTAGACCACGACTTTTCCAACCCGCAGGCTCCCAGGAGGAAATCTGACCATTCTGACACCGCATGATGGACGGACAAGGGGATGTATCGCAAGGCATATGTTACTCCTGGCTTGACCGGCCGAGCAGAGTAAATATCATGGCTGGCTTCATTTCTGATTCTAAACTCAAAGAAAGCGGGTAAGGAGGGCATGTTACAGTTGTAGGTTACGCCTAGTGCGCTCCTCACAGCTTACCTGAACACTTTTAGACTTGTATATAATGTGCGCCCGCATTAAAATGTTGATTTGCAAGAAAAAAACTGACGACTGGCACAAGTGGGTTCTGTCCAGATGCTCGACGTACAGAAGCGCGAAGTTCATGAACATCATCCTCGGTATCAGACGAACTCTCTCCTAGTCCAAATTCAGGGGAAGCAGTTGCGGATGTTTGCTACAAGAGACTATGTATAGCAAAAAAGAACATCCACATACAAATGCGACACTCACATCTGGCATACTTGCCGCCTTTACCATGGTTGGTCGAGATGAAGCGTTACTGTTTCTCTTTGCTTGCAAAAGTGTGTCTTGAGCACAGAGATCCATCGGAGGAGAACTTCCTGTTGGTGTTGGAGGAAGAGGTTTATTCGGACCACGCAATGTTCCTCCAATCGAATCCTAAATGAGTTCGTACAGCTAAGGTTTAGCGTGTGACAACTGTACACGCGTGACAAAACCGCGACAAATACTTCGAGCTATTCAATTTGCGTCGGTTTTTTTTCATCTGCGCTCTCTTTTCTAAATAATATTCTCTGACTGTTGCATTCGATGCAGAGTAAGACGTTGTCGATTATGCGTGGCGCTCAAAAGCATTTAATCAAACGCTTTTTCGGTCCTGACTTTGTCCTGCTAGATTGAATTAGTTCACCTTTTAATATTTTCGAGGCAGCCTATTAATAGAAGTGGTATATTCGTTGAAGGGGGGGGGGGAACGGGTGAAGAAGGAAAAAAAAACTACGTTACTTGAAATTCCTGAAACTGACCATATTGGGAGTAAATTTCAAATTATTGTAAAAAGCTTACCTCTATCATTCCTCATTTTTGACGAGTTTCTCGTAAATATTCCTAACACTTTTTGTGCACACACGTTTCTTTAGAATCCATAGTGCCTCGATGACACTCAGGACATGCGTCTAGGTAGGTCTCTCTACTGTAAAGAGTGGTTTCGACAGCACGGCGTGCTTCTACAGAGGAGTCATTTGGGACGCGGTCCTGAGCGCCATCGAAACACTGTGGATTATGAGAAAGAGGGAGGAAGCCTTAGGCAGAAAAAAAGATCCAGACATATGGACAAGAAACACGTTAAATTCGAAGAAAAATAGAGGAAAAAGGAATGAAAGAAGATTGTCCCAGTAACACTGAATTTCAACTGTTTCTATACTTGGGCCTTCTTATCGTTCTGGCAATTATGTAAAGCTCACGGCCGAAAAAGCATCGGACCACACTTTTGAGCGCTACTGTATGCCTGTTCTCAGGCCTCTCGCAGCAGAACTACTACAAATCTTAGGTAGCCCTATCGGTAAGGGCCAGAGTACAAGCAGGTAAAGAGTAACGCTTGAAGCATCAAGTGCAGTATTCATGCATAGAGTATCACTTAACCAGAGAGCGCAGACAAAAGCAGAAAGGTGAGAGCAACACTTGATGCAGACTGAACAGCCAAGACTGGCTGTGGCGAATTTTGCGAGTACGACGCGCCGGATGTGCTTTTGATGTACACCGACTAAGGTCACCCAAAGGAAATCTACACTGGAAGAGAAAAATTCCGAATGGGCACAATGTGGCTCAGGGAGAGTGGGTAGGGGCACCACGTGGCATTGCATCAAGATCACGGAAACGTTCAGTTTCGGGACTAAGCCTTCGAAGAGGGAGGTACTCCGATGTGCGGCAGCAATTTCTTAGCTTCGGAGTTTCCGGAGTTCGTGCCTGATGTCTAGGCTCGGACCTGAAGGCTTTTCTAGAGTGGCCCCCTACCCCCGAGCCACATTGCGCCTCCAAATGTCACTGCGCTTTAAAAGTGGATGGAACAAACAAGCCGTTGCCTATTGGAGCTGAAGGTAGAGGTGGCAGTGTGCACTGAGAAAATGTGAGATAAAACGGTCTACGACCCAAGAAATGGGACCTTTTTTGTTTACCCGTTGCAAAACGCCTTGAACGAGCCAGCGGAGAAGGCGAGCTCGTTGGCACGAGCTCTTCACGATAGCCGATTTATGGCAACAAAAATTGATTTGATTAGAAACGCATTACATGCGCAAACCAGAGGATACGATCACTCATAACGAAACGCCTTCACGAAACGGGATCAAAGTATGGCCAAAACAATGCCATCATTTGACTATTCACAGGCCGAGCCCTCCAGCAGGAAGAGGGCCGCTTCACGGCAGATGGCGCTCGCCAGGTTTAAGGTTAGCTACGTGGCGATGGGCGCGCCATTTGCCGCAATGCAGGCTTCCCCTCGCTTCCTTGGAGATCTAGCGTTCCTTTGTAGTAAGCATGCCACCTCTTCTTCCATATCCAATTTATAGTAACACCCTCTCTTGCAGTTGTGATTGCAAAAGTGCAACCGCGATTGGCGATAGCTCCGCCCATGATCGGTACAGCCAGCCGGAAGGGGCCTGTCACGTGCTCTGTTGTCGAAATCCGTGACGTCTGTCAAATGCGGACGAAGCCATCGCCAATCGCGGTTGCTTTTTTGCAACAGGGATTGCGCAATTGTGCAATCGCGATTACGCTGTAGCGATTGCACTTTGCAAGCGCGAAAGTGCAATCGCGTCGTAGTCGCGCTTGCACAGTCGCCGAGTCTGACATGCACAGAGATTTAAACTGTTAGAGACTGTCCACAAGTTAACAAGTAGTGCACAACATTCAACACTATTTCCAACTCTCACGTCATCGCCATCGGTCACACTGGCAATGGACGCATCACGTGGAGGTGGAGCAGGAGGAGGAGGTGAAACACCGCCACAATTACCCGTAGAAAGACCCATTTGCGAGAGTTCGCAAGCCAATACATCCAAGTCCTGAAAACATATCCAAGGTTATGTAAAAGGAAAATGCAGAAAACAGTGGCATTCAAAAAAGAAGTGTAAGCTTTATTTTTTGTAGCTTGTCCGTTGCAGACGGTGAGATTTGAATGGGAAATGGAATACGATTCTGGAAACCGTTACTGAAGATTGCTCAAATAGGTATACCTCAACAGACCTATCATTTGTCCCTGAGCAAGTCCCAGAGCGCAGAAAAATGTAATTTTCTCACGGTTACCCATTGCGATTTGAAACGAAAAAGAAATGTACACTTATTTCTGAAAGCCACCGTATTATCACCTCAGTTAGTTCAGTCTTGAAAAGGGGAATGGTCGAACTAGTCATATTTAACAAGGCATGATATACCACGGGATGTGCTTCCGTACTCCGCCTTCCAAATCTGCCAACCCTTTTTTCCTGAATCAGAATTTTCGAGTTATGAAGCGGATTTAGGTCTTCCGAGTTCAAATGCAAGAGTTTGAGCAACCAAGTTCTTGGCGGATTTGTTCTTTGCACTCTCTAACAACATGGCTAGAGCTTTTATCCAAATAATTCATCAAAGCTTGCCTACAGTCGCCTGTATGGAGTGCGTGCTATGCTCCTAACAAGTTCAGGCCGAATTGGCTCACGATTTCTCATATCGCCCTAACACGGGCGCTGAACGTTTCCTTGCCTGATAGCTGCGATACTTATGCTCGGGGAATAAACACCTCTGGCATCAGGTTCTCAATCATGAATTCATTCTGAGAACAGTTTGGCAGACTCGAATACAGATTTAAGTCCAGGATCCCAAACATCCCGTGGTACATGTTCCATTAAATATAGCCATTTCAAACTGAAATCCTCCTCTAGTTAGAAGTAACTCAAAAAGCATAAAGTGTGTACCTCAGGTCTCGACTGTTGCTGGTGTAACACAGGTTCACTAAGCTTGCGTAAAGGAGCAGCCATAACACTGGCTGCAACGCGAGCTACTGGCATCGCACCCCGGTGGCCTCCTGAAATGAGAACATATAGAAGATACTGGAGTAGACTGACAGGTTAGGGGGGACAGAAAGGCGGCAATGTTGTCCTTTTTGCTGACTGTACAGGCTTCCCCTTCCTCATCAACACATGACATCTATTCCAATGTTACTGCTGCTGGAACTAAAGACTCATCCAAAACACCTCTCTTTTTCTCATACTTGCGAACTTGTCACACAGAATTAGGGATTTCAGTTTCACCAACTCTCGGTGGGAGTTCATAGCTTATGCGTACCCTTCCAACTCAATGACTTCAACGTTAATTATCAACCTGCCTTAACAAGCTTACTTTGTGTTGGAATTACAAAAGATCTCAAGGTTTTTCCAAGCCCCTTAAAAGAATTTAATGATCTGATTTCACACGTTCCTGTGCTGGTTCTTTCTCTTTTCGAAACTACAACCTTGAGGCTGGTGTCAGAGTCCGCGATCCAACCGTCGACGGAAACACAGACTTCATACTTGTGAGTGCTCCTATTGAAGCCCACTTCTATGCCGCAACCGCGCTGAGAGTCATCTGCTAAACGCAACGAGTCACCTAACCGGATCAGTCGATCCTTAATGGCTCCTTTATTACTGACTCCATATACTTTTCCTTGCTCATATTGACATCGTCTTCATTCCCTCCTCAGCACCGCTAACTATCCTTAACCCTTGCAATAATGTGTTTCGTTGGTCTTCAAGATGGTTAAGAACTAATCTGTATTCGTCACTCTCTACATACTTGATTCAGCGTTACCTATGCGTCCTTTCGTGACACTTCTGTCTCTCTCCTTCCGTTCTTCACGCTCAGACTGTCTTCGGCCGTAGTTGGCAACGTCCGCAAGATGAGGTGCAGCAGGATGCGACTGCTGCGGAGACCTCTGAAAACAAAGCATAATTCAGAATCAAGGCTGATCACATCAAGTCATTTAGGATGGAAAAATACCTGATGATGACTAACTGGTCGTTGTCGCCTTTCAGCATCCCGTCGAACATCACCTACTATAGGCCGGGTAACTGCTGCTTGCGCACGCATTTTGACCTGCTCCTCGCGATCACGCCCATCCGCGCAATACCTGAGAAGTTTGTTATAACCAGGTTATATTAGACCGAACGGTTATAATTCTGCGTATGCCTTGACCCTCATTCCCTAAAATAGAAAGAAGCCCTAAGAGGAGCGAATTGCAAACTAACAAGCCCGCTCCACAGTGTTTTCGAAATAATCGGAAATTTATCGACATGCAAACAGTGTGTGGAATTACTGCGCCACATGAAGACGATTTTACTTTCCAAAGTCAGCTCTGGACATTTCAATTTCCAAAAATCTCATGTGTTTTCTAGAGGTTCTATGATCAACTTGGTGATCAATGAGTAAGGCACTTTTTAAGTCCACCGCTAAAAGCGAACCGATTTCCTCAAAAGCGTACTAATAGAAATTACAACAAATTTACTTTGTTTTGCTTTCCTTTGCTACCAATTTCAAAAGCTGTGAGTCCTCATTTATTTTAGGTTTAATTGCAGATTATAATAACCCTGACAGGGCGGAAGTGGTATAGTGGCAAGCGGCACGCTTACCACGCGAGCGCTCCGGGGACCAAGTCCTGGGTCGTGAGTCGCCCGGACCAAACAAGCCCTTTATCCCCCGGAGTCGGTTAACTGGTACCAGACTTGTCTGGGAGGATTGAAATTGTACATCGGCCGGCCCCCGCAAGTCACTGTATAGGTCACATCGCATTCAAACGCCACTACGAATGTACAAATGGAGGTAGAATGCGTGCGCATCCCAAAAAGGGATTGATCAACGGCAAACTCTTAATCCTTTATCCTTTAATAACCCTGACACGAGCAGTGTAACCTCTCCTCACTCCCCTCACCAAACCGTTATCCGTCGTCTGACCCTGGTATCGAAAATTTCTCCATATCTGAAAACTGGACTGAAAAAAGAGAGTCGCGGCAGGTAAGTGCATATATGTCAAAATTATGGAGCCTGCTATTCAACTTAAAACTGGATAAAGACTAGAGCAATCGAAATTGAAGGCAATCGAGTGATTAATATACAGTTTTTGGGAGAGCATAAGCGATAAACTGGGTTCGAAATACTGAAAAATACCTGTACACGTTGTGATGAGGACTTGCAGTAGGCGGTCGGTCATGGTTTGGCACTATCCTCTTCAACTGCTGAGCGCCAGCATGTTCGAATGCCCCTCGACTAGCTTCTTGGATACGTTGGAATCCTTTGCGCAGAGTGTTATCCGCTGGTATCATAGACGCAGCTTCTGAATCTGAAAAAAATGGGGAAAATGGAGAAGATAAACGTATACAATTCATAAACTGTCAGTCCTGATAAAATTTTTATATCACAGGGAAAGTCGCATTTGGAAATTTTTGGAAGGAAATCACTAAACTTCACAAAAGGTTTTAGTAGAGGAAGAAACTAAAATATTTTGCTTTGAGTTGGTGGGTGCAACAAACGGCATTGCCATGCTTGACCCTTGATGTCAGGTGAAACATGGCCCTGGATGGTGGTTGGAACATGAACAAATGATAAGAATTCATGACAACGATGAATACAAACATCGCATCGCTGCTTTCTCAGCAGGAAATATTAAAAACAAACCGTCGCGATGGGTGATTGGCTTCAAGGGGTTTGGTTCATCCTCGTCACTGCCTGAATATTCGTACTCGGTTTCATCTGAAAAAAAAAGAAAATTAGGACCATGATACTTCAAAAATGAAGTTGATATGCCATATTCTATCACTATGAAGTTTCTGAGCTTCGCACATAGTAAATATAATACCTGATCACCCTATCGTCAAAGGTTTTTTGTTTACTCACGAAAACTAGCGTTCTTCCATAAACTCGCACCAAATATGTATTCATGAAAGATGATAAAAACGAGCCTTTTTTGTTGATTCGACGATGTCTATCAATATGGTCCTTGATGGCGATCCTTATGCTTCGTTCGGGTGGTTGATCTCTAATAAATGGATGTCGAAGGAGTTGGTCCGTATACGGCCGTTGTTGGTAATCTTTTATAAGCACCGTTTCTGAAATAAAAAACAAATGGCCACGTACAACAACTAATATTATAGTGGCATATGGTTTCAAAGAGCAGAAGAGTTTTGCTTAAAGAGATACTTCTTTAAATTTGAAAGGAATTAACATATTATTATACAATTATTATATTATATTTACATATTATGAATTTACATATTTACGGTGGAAACAGTAAGAATAACGAAATCCAATAGGATGGAAAGATGATGTTAAGTACTGGTAACGTCAATGACATGACATAAAAAATTCACCCACCGATGAATGACTCAAACTTCTTTGTCCACTTCTTCGTGCGTTTCAACCTCGGAGGAGGATTGCGAGGTATTAGAAAAAGGGCGCGCATAGGATGCATGTCGCAAAGAGGCGGGTGTCCTTCTGCCATCTCTAACGAGGTTATACCTGAATGAAAAATTTTAAACAGAGCTATGAGGCGAAATAATCATTCCCCTTCAAGTTCACTTGAAGGCAAAGTTCGGGCTCAGACTCACTTAATGAGCCTTTACGGTGGCTAGAAGCGCTAGGCACGCAATTGGGGTCGCGCCACTTCCCTACTTCGAAAACCGTTATTTGACGCTAGGCTTTAAGAACTTTGACACGCTCCACCTGCTGCGACACGCCCCGCCCACCGCTCGGTATCTTGACTGCGTCGGAATATTGATCTGCTATGCTCCTTACTTAGACTTCTCTAGCGCTCTCCGCGTTCACATTATCTCTCATCTCCCTGAAGGCTTTTTGAACTTCTCCGCACCGTAGAGGAAATGGCTCGTATTTCCTAGGCATTTCACGATTTCTTTTTCTCTTTTCTGCACTGGCGGTCCACTACCTACTCCTACTTTCGCATTTAAGTGGAATTAACTCATAATTCAATCCTGAATCTTATCTTTAAGATATGTACAAATCCCAAGTCGTGAAAAGTCGTAAGAAACCCGCCCAACTGAATACTATTTCAGAGCAAACTACACTGCAGCCTCGTTATAATACGATGTTGCGCCAAACCTTCAAACGCGCTCTGCTAGCAAGGGCAATCGCGATTTTCATGAAAGGAATCCCACATATCGAAAGTTTCCGCATGACCTGCCACACCACAGGAGACGAGTTTGCTAAATCTCCAATAGGGGTTGTTAACTATTTTTTAAGTTATCCACAATTTCTTCACCCACAAACAGCAGCATAAAATGGTAAGAGACCGCTACATGAAGAATTCAAGAAACCTCTTCTCCCTGTTTTTTATATCTCTTATCCTATCCTTAGCCTTATCCTTAGCCACGGAAATGATAAGTTTGCAAATTTCTCTTAAAATGGGGAAGAAAATACTGAAAATGAGCAAACAAGGGATGTTGGACTACAGGCCATGTGGAACGGCGCTCCGCGTAAATTATCACAAGTCATTGCTGGATGCATGTCGGTGTTTATTGTGGCAAGTAACTCTGCAAGTGACATCCAAAGATAAATCCCATTTTCTTACAGAGGTGTCCTTATCAGAAGGACCATAAAAAAGGAGACCCCTGAATGAAGCTGAAACCAAAAACCTTGATCGTGATTCTTGTTCAACTTGCTCACCACGAAAGCAACTTACCAAGTGACCAAAGATCAGATCGTGAATCATATGTCGCCTCAGGGTTTTCGTCGCAAGCAATCACTTCCGGAGCCATCCTTGAAAGAGGTGGATAAGATCGATGATTAAAACTTCAAGAGAAAAAATCAAAGGTCATAACCATTGGTTATGGGCATCTCGCTTGTACTTGAGCTAGTTTTTTGGGGTTCGTCGTTTTTTTGACCCTTCACGTTTGAATACATTATTTTACTTCAAGCAATCTGCCACTGGTCGATACACCATTTTGAAGAACTTTTCTTGCTGCGTTTACCAGCGGGACCTTTGTTCTAGACCATTATGTCATCATTTTTTGAAAGCCTTGGAACGGCATACCGGAAGAGCAAGTTTGCATGACTTTCTGCTGGTCTACCAGAGCGACCTTTTCTCAAGAGATAAAGCAGGAAGCATTGCCTTCTCAAGTTGTAGTTTGATGATGATGTGCACTCGCCCTTGTATAAGGTATATTTTCTATTTGGAGAATTTCTCAGAAACATTCAGATCTGCGAGTTTTTGGACGATTTGCGGGTGGCTGTGTTATTATGAGAAGCAGTGCATATGTTACAGCCTTTTACACAATCGTTTCGCGATTCGCCGTAATCAAAAAGCAGCCGGACAGCCGGAATACTTCTTTCTTACACGATGAGGGTGCTAAAGAGCTGGAATAATATTTTTGAGCTTGCCAAGTCAATCCCGAGCAGCTCCCCTCATCCAGCCGAGCGTGGCTGTTGTTGAATCTGGCATGCCAAGCTCAAAATGGCATCTTCAACATGGAAGACATGCATTGCTCTGAACGACTCTAAGAACTTCAAGAAGACGGTCACAAATTTGCAATAACTGGCCAAAATATGAACAGCAATTCTATGACAGTCTCCTTCACCATCGACCACTATTTTCTTTGCCAATCTCGAAAGATTGTCAAGCCAAAGGCGACAGATTGCCAACCCAAAGGCATGCACCCACATTAAGGACGAATTTGTTATTTATTTTAAACCAGCGGATCATTCTTCTCAACATTACAACCACGCGTACCTGCGTTGTAAACGGTACAAATATTCCCAAAGTCTACCACTATTTTTTGACTGCAAAGAAACGTTAAGAAAGCTGGTACAGAAGGCAGCTTTCGTCGTTGCTCGAAAGCTCCATTACAGACAATGAATTTTGAACAGAAAGGACTCATTAGAAATTGGCGGCAAAAAGTTCGTGGAGGAAAAAACGTTCTAAAAGGAAATACAAAAATCGCAGGCAGCTCACGTTACGACCCTATACGGCATGGTAACGGATTGGGATAATGAAACAAACAAGAGTTAACGAACCAGTAAGGAGTTCCAATGAACGTATTTCTCCTTCCAACCGTTTTGTCCAGTTGAGCAGAAACGCCAAAGTCCACTAGTTTCACCTCTGCGCTGTCCGTCAGGAGAACATTCTGTCCTTTTATGTCCCGATGAATAACTTTATTTTGATGAAGGTGGTAAAGACCCTGAAATGTACTTATCTAAAAAGCATAATTAAGTGTACATCCTTCAGGTTGGCTATTGTGGAACCTCGCATAGTTTGTTTTTTTTTTCATTTGAGGTTGAAATAAATTCCAAAAGGACTGAGTAATGTTTGAAGCACTACTTCTGACACAACGTAAGGAGCCCTTGTCTCTCTACCCCCCCCCCTCCCAATCCCAAATGATTATTACTCTTTCGGTCTGATTTTGTCTTACTAAAATTGATCCAAAACATCGCTACAACTTCAAACAACGGAAAACGGTCACTGAACTTCATTGCATTCTGTGCGAAACTTTCGACAGCGCTCGATTTTAAGAAACTGCAAGAGATTCTAGCGTTCTTAAGATTAGACTACGGTTGGGAACTTCAAAAGATACAACATCGAAATTCTTCTCGAATTTGCAGATAATGAAGAAATGAGGGCAGCCTTCGAGTCAAACGATTAACAGAAAAATGTCAAGAGGTCTTGCTGTGGCACATTACCACAATACCCTTTCGCTTGCGATCGCTATAGTCAATGGGTGTACAAAGTAGACCATATCTACGCCTAAGTAGTGCGCGTCATTAGCAAGGAATTCTGCCATACGTGCCAGAGCAAAGGATTCTTTGACACCAATATAGCTTCAGTTAGAAAAGGGATAACATGGCGACAAAACTGCAGCCATTGATCATTACTGGACAAGCGTAGTCGACTCCTGGAAGAGCCCTTCGAGTGAAGAAGTTATGCCGTGCACATAGGTAAAATATGGGCTATCTTTACGATGTTGTACGCTGAACGCTGAAACTGGCCAACCACAACATACCAGCCCATAACAAAAACCGGGCTAGCAACTTGCGCCTTCCACGGCAACCAGAACCTGGCCCCGCTCGACTGACATTTATTTTCGTCGCCGATACACTCCTTGGACGAAAATAAATTCAGTTACGTCGAAAATGACAAGGGTTGGACGTCTAACTTCTTCAAGCTGCAGGCGTTTTTCCACAGAGGAATCTATTCTTATATCTATTTAGTATGTGACGAACCATTAACGTTAACTACTGATTGAGCTACTTTCCGATATTTTCACAAAAAAAAATTATAACTGATCAGAAACGCATTTACAGGCATCAATTTTTAAATGCACTTATGCAGGGAAAATGCAATAAAAATGAATGGGCTCAAGAAAAGCATGCTGGATGCAACGATTAACGATTAATTGAGTGAATTAAAGCCATTGTAATGCTGTAAAAGCACAAAACGTCAGAATTTATCATTCTACGCATTCCGAATGAAAATATGGAATTTAACCCAACTTGACGGGTCAGCAAATACGGAGAAATAGCTATATAAGACAACTTCAAAAAATAACGAATAAAAAACCTACTCTAAGAATTTCCCTGCATATGTAGGCGATCCAATCCTCCTTGATTGAAGAGGCTTTGCTGCTTTTTACAAGATCTGTGACTGATCCACTTCCACAAAACTCCATAACCAGCCATAATTGATCGTGCTTCCCCGTCGACGAAGGAAGTTTTTTAATGAAGGCACCGTAGTACGTGGCAATGTTGCGATGATAGGAGTACTAAATGACCAACAAAATTTTTACACGACTCAAATCTACATATTCTCTGCACTTTAAAAAGTGCACGTGCCATCCACGTTTTTTGTATACATCACTCAAAACCACAGATGTGAGGTAAGGCGGCCACGATCGCAAATTGCGCAACGCCGCTAAAATGTCACAACACGAGCTGTCATCAACGTGCTAGCCGTCTTGATACATTGAATTCAGGTCCAGCGCAAAGCTTGCACTAACTTCTAGTCATACATTCATAACGATTATAGATGCTCATGGTCTTTGGGGGGGGGGAGGGCACTTCAAAACGATCCCTTCCCTCCTCAAGGTTCAGTTCCAAGTACTGTAAATGGCTCATCCACTTGGTCCCCCCCCCAGGATACAGAAATGAGAGAACAGCATACCTTTTTTAACATATTTATTTCGAGCTTAATCTCTTCCTCTTCGTCCTCGTTGATGTTCATGATCTTAATGGCAGCCAGCTGTGCTGTTTTCACATGACGACCCTAAAAGATGTGACTAGTAACCTAATAACAAACTGTAGACTGTCAATTCTGAATTACAAAAGCTTCGTGACTTACAAGCAATAAAATGCGCTGATGGAACCATCTCACGGTCAAAAAAACTAATGCGCCATTTTTTCGGTGTGGGACCACTACGGTAACACTTGCGAACCGCGTTGAAGAATCGTTTGTTACAAGAAAACACGTGAGTCGCGGATACAATAGTTGGAGACGAGCGCACTCTGGCCCATTCACACGGAAGCAACCGTGGTACCCCCCCCCAACCCCACCACCACCCCCTCCAGCCAAGCAGCCGGCCCTCTAACAATAAGTCTGTAACTGCCAGCCGGCGGCTGGCTTGTATGCATAGGGCAACGCGAAGAGGCGGCATTAGGGCAAAGTGAAAAATGAACTTGGTGCTAACTAGTCCTGACACTCTGGCAATATTGGCACCATTACGTGGCAATATTTACAATGCTTGATTACTGCTCTTGAATGAATTGGAGCCGTGTCTTCAGGAATGTGGATATAGAGTGCTATTCTACTATTGAATCGATGTCTCTTCACAAAAGTGTAGAGAATAAAAGAAAAGAACACATGTGACCCCGCTATTATATGTATTACAAAAACCTGAAGAGAAAAAGTTTCTGACGAAAAAAACGTCATGAGACATCGGTCGCCCCGAGTAGATTGAAAACATAAAAATATCTTCACCAGAAACCAGAAGCAAGTGTTCTCAAGGGCTCATGTCCTTAGGGGGACATTGAAGTGAGTGGGCCACGCTCACAATCCCTTTCCCCTCCCTAAAGCTTAGTCCTGATCAAGTTCAGGCGGAAGGGATTGTGAGCAACCATTGCTCTCCCTTAAACTTATTCCCAGTCGTGGGCTTAGTCCTAGTGTCACCTACCAGCGGTTTTTGAATGCCCTGTTCGGAATATCCCCCCCCCCCTAAGGACATGAGCGCCGTTCTCAATTTACGAATTCTCGCAAAATCAAAACCAGAAGACAGTACAGAAAATTCTCAGAAAATTACGAAGGTCGCGATTTTCCCTTAGGATTAACTAGAACATACCTTGTATACTTGACCGTATGTTCCATTACCAACAACCTCAATCAGCTCGAAAATTCCTGCGGGATCCTAAAAAAATGAATTTACTGTCACAGCAGTTGAAGAATCTGTCACACACATACCCTAAGTGTGTTAAGGTCGATTTCGTCGAGCGGCGCACCGGGGTTGTGACCCATGGTGACGATGAGAAATCAGCCTCGTTAATCGTACGAGATGTCACCTAGAAGACCCAAACATAAGGCTAAAGTCATTTTCACGAAATTGACATCTTATGAGTACAGCAGAATGTCACGCTCTGGATGAAACGAGATTTCACACCGTGACCAAAGCAAGTGTTGGAGAAATACATGAATAAATCGAATGGGGTGTGTTTCGCTAGGACAGCACAGGAGGCGACTTTTCCTCTCGCCGCAGCGCGAAAGTTTTTTCGCTGCGGGAACCCCAGGTCCACCACCGATCAGGATTGAATTCGAATGCGTTAATGGTTATTCAAATCAGTGCTCTACCTAACGAAGTAGGGAGGATAGTGTCCTAGGCATTGACCATCCTTTAGCTTTGCCAACCTGACACAATTGGAAAACTAAGATCACCGGTAAACAGCACCTAGACTTGTTAGGAAACGTTCCCTACTCTCTACACAGGCAACTACGGATAAATGTTGATGACGTAACGCAGATAAGTCTTTCCAACCATGCTGCTGCCAACAAACCAGCCTATTTGGACCATGGCATTATAAATACCGCGAGATGCTGCCTATGAGCCTTGCGCCCACATCTATCTGTGCTACCGCGATACAAATCCCTTTTCTTGTCGTTCACCTTTTAGTGACGCTTTCACATATTTAGCATGCAAGGCAACACAGGAACATTCGTACAATCTCATATAGGAATGGTTTAGCAGGTTTAAAAGGCGAAATCAGGAATATACATCCTATATTGTGGTGAATGGGCCCTTTCCATCTGTCTTTTTTGGTGCGCGTTATTAGATTCAAACAGTAACTAAGTGAGCGCGCAGTAAAGACAGTGCACTGACACAGACACGTGCTCAGACGAACATGGCCAAACTAGGCTTCGGGGAAATTTTCAAATACGACCCCCTCCCCACTGATGGAAGCTTCTATGCATAACCTCTTTCCGGGTGCAGAAATCACATGAAGGAATAGGAACGTTGTGCCCACGCGAACACTGACATTGGGCTACACGCAAGAAAGGAAACCGAAAATTGCGGCTATCTTCAGTCGGGTGTAACTTGTCTCTGTGACAATGAATCACATACTCGCAAAGATAAGTAGCGTTGGAAATTGATTAAGATGTGCTTTCTAAGAAACTTAAGGGTATGAGGGTTTTTATGACTTTGGGAGCCATATGTTCCTTCAGCAGCATCCAAGCAATAAAAGGGATGAGGCTTTCAAACTAGAAAATTTGTTTTTGTTTTTTTTTCTAACGAATTTTGAAAGTACTTGGCAATTATAGCATCAAATGACCTCTAGAGAGGAAGTTCGGAAGCCGAAGCTGCAGCACGAGACATAATCGAGTTCACTCAGATGCGCCGTGCACTCGACATCTAGCGCGAGCGCAATCCGCATACTCTCGCGAACAAGTCAATGATGCTGTATTCAATGCTCATCCCGGCACTTACGACTCACCTCCCTCCCACCGGACCCCTCGACTACACTTACTCAACACACAATTGACCCTGCGACATCCACTAACATTAATTTTATTGATGTAAGTATTTTCCCAGTATTTTGATACTTCGACTAGTTTTCTTTGTTGTTGGACATCACGGGTTATGTAGAAAAAAAAACTACTCGGAGCCAAAACTAGGTTCTAAAATGACTAGAAACTACACCAGCTTTCATTTCAAGCAGCAAGAAATGAGTTGTCATTTGCCTGAAAGCACCTGATACAAAAGAACCTGTGACACCCTGGATAGGTGGCGATGAGTATAAATAGGCAACAACTACGCGGCTCACTAAAGTGCAGCGATACAGGAGGTGTTTTTTTCACTGCGAACCGCCAAAGGCGCTCAACTACTAAACGCGTAAGAGGATTGAGGTAAGTGTAGTAGATGTGGGAGGGGGCAGATGATGGCGCAGTGCTCTACTCATGTGCCCTCTCAGCGAATTAGAGATGACGTTGGTGCAAAACGATTTTACCTGTGAAATTTTTTGGATGGGGGAGGAGGTCGTACTTGGAGTTTTAGGGAGAAATGGTCATGGTGGCGAAAAAAATATGAAAAGGTGAGCAGTACTGAGTACGGTTCGCTGTTTCAGAACCTCAATACCGTCTTCCCCCCCCCCGCCCCTCAATGCCATTTTTGTAAGTGAAGCTGCAGCGCATCAAACAGTGGTGCTTACTTTTTCACGCTATCGACACCACTGACAGTTGGAGGCAGCCGTGAGAGGAGGGAGGTTCCCTTCCGAAAGGCTGTAATGCTAAAAATTCTGAAGCCAAATGAATCTTAACATTTGATCGGCACAGCATTAAGGTTGAACCTAGGCGGGGTGGGACAAGTCACTTAGAATGCGTGAAAATCTGCCGTGTGTGAGTTCACACAATCTCACTAAGACGGTGCAGAGGATCAGCGCGTTGCGCCGGCTGTCTCGAGCGCTCAAAGATGTGACAAGCCCACATTTTTCGGCAGGAGCCAGCAATAGTGAGCGCAGCGGTGTTCTCATCTATGGGCATGCGAAATGGATGCGTAGGAGAGCAAAAATGTGATAATTTATTTATTTATTGAAGTGAGCAAGAGCCACGTGAGAAAATTCAACAAAATCGATAGAATTTGTAGCAGTCATAATCCAAGATGATAAACCGCAGGAAAATATTGCTAGCTTACTACTTGCGGCTCTTCGTGAGCGCTTTACTTCGAGTAAGGTCACCATCAAAAAATCGGAAAAATTTAATAAATTAGAGGCCAACTGTAGGCTTATACATCTAGCGTAATACGACCAAGCTAAAAGGCATAGCAAGTAGGAATGGAGGTTCACATGTCTGCCAATTTTTCATAGACAAGTGCGTGGCGCATCTCAGAGAAGGAATACATCGAGCCAAATGCTTCATTTTTTTATGCGTCAGGATCGAAAAAAATTCCATAAATATTCTGATCTTTTCGCCTACGTCGGAATGCAAAGAAGGGCGACGAGATGAAGGATTGATTGTTTGATGTGAAAAGAAAAATGAAAAAAAAACGATAACCACAAAATGACTACTGTACGTGATTCCTCAGAGGAAATTACGCACACTAAAATAAAAAATTATTAGAGAACCGAAATCGAGTTTTTAGGGATACCTCCCCTTTTTTAACAGAACATATTTAAACGAAATTGGGATCGTTGAAAATGCAAAAACTTGCACGCTTAACATTGCTCGCAAACCACGAGAAAGAAAAGGTGGTTTTTTTTTCAGGAAAAAATCTTGAAGATAGTTCAATTACTTTTGAAAAGCTCGAAAGCTGTAGCCTCTCGCCACGGTTTTAGGTTGACACGTGGAGAGCTCCAAATAAAAGTGCTAGAAGTCCAAAAATTCGCATATGCACAAAGTTAAAATACGAAATTAAAAAAAATCGGAACAGTTGGTGCTTTTGCACGAACAAAGAAATGAATTTTTAAATCTTTCTACCGCCCCAAGAAGCTCACATATGAACAAAATGACCTTTGAAGGACGAAGAGGGCACATCTCGGGGGCCCTTTTTTTACTCCATAGATGAAATCACTTCTAACCTACAAAACAACTTGGTAGGGGAGTTGAAAGGCTTCAAAGCTATCTGGCTACTATCTCGCCAGCTTTCGACCTTTATAGTCCATCTAGCTAGCAGGGATTAATCTATATAGCTCCACCTATCTAACTTTCGTAAACCGAAAAGTTTGAAAGGAATACGCAGTTTAACGAGCGATTTTTCACAACCCCTGCGCCTCTGTCACCTGAGAGAATCATAGCGAGCTCCGCCAACTGCATAATGCGCGACGCAGCCGCGAGCACTCGGTATCGGAGCGCGTTTAGGTTTACTCGCATTCGTGTTCATGTTGGAAGTGGTCGCACTGACCACTCTAAGAGGAAGGGTACTTGGAAATTTTGAAATCGGCCATATACTATGGTTGACCCTATATCAGTGAGCTTATCTGTTGACCCTTCCGCATGAAAGTGTTGTGGCCGCCGTGTGACTGTGCTAACAATTTGTTGTCAGACATGACGCATATTGGTTTGTTGCAAAACATTTCTGCCCTTCATCGCTTCAAATTATCGTAACGGTCACTACGCGAATAAAATTCTATACCAAATTGAATGAAAAGAAAATGAAAAACGGAGAAACAGAGGATTGAAATATCATAAGGTGTAATTCATGCTAATATTTACGTACACACTGCATGCATTGCATAGACTGGTAACTATGAAAAAGCCAAATAGACCGTAGAATAGAACTAAAATGTAAAAGACGAGCAAAAAAAATGAAAAATTGATGATTTAGGAATGTGAAGCTTCTCGGACAAAAGGAACTAACGAAATGTTGAGAAAACCCGACTGATAATAACCATACTTCATACATGAAATTTCTACAGAGGTTTTTATGCCTATCAAAACGGGACCGAAGAAATGGTTTTTCACACACAAGCCTGTGCAAAAACCATTGGAAAATGCAAATCTGATCCCTTGCAATGGAAATGCTTGAAATAGTGAAAAGAGATGTACGAAAGAAGCAAGAGGGACCAATTTGAACCACTAATGAAAATGAGATGAAATTCAAATCATCGACTCATTCGGCACCGATTAAGGATCGGGGGTTCATTCCAGTTAGGGGGCATCATTATGCAGATACTCGGTGAACTCGAACATTTTAGCTTCTCACGCATGTCAAGTGACTGCCCTCACCCCCATCCCCCTTAGGCCGGCTTCCCCTTGGCTCGGGGTTACCCTAGATTTCTGGAAAAACTGCATCGCGATGCCCTCCCCTAACTGGAATAGACCCCAAAATCGGTCCCAAAAGAGCACCACACCAAAGACTACTTGAAGATGGGTGCTCGGTAGGTACCAAAGGGGGGCGTCTTTGAAGGAGTTTGTCCACTGCGTTAGACGAATTCTTCACGATCGTGCACTGTGGACGGAAATCCGTGTACTACGGAATGTGGCAAATTAATGATGTAGGGTGCCTAAGCCACACATGTATGACAAAAGTTGGAGTGCCTCCAACCATGGTGAACTTTTTTTGGACTTAAAGTCA